CAACAATTGCTGGCAAGGATGTGGGGAAAAGGGTACCCTAATCCACTTTTGGCGGGAATATAAACTGGTGCAGCCACTGTGGAAGTCTGTCTGGAGTTATCTCAGAAATCTGAATTATAGATTTACCATATGATCCAGCTATCCCACTCCTGGGAATTTACTCAAACCAAAAGAAATCAGCATCTGAAAGAGTTATTTGTGCCCCTGTGTTCACTGAAGCTGAATTTACAATAGCTAAGATATGGAATCAACAGATATCCATCAATTAAAGATTGGATAAAGAAATTATGGTATATATACACTATGGAATACTATAGAGCAATAAAAAAAAGAAATCCTGTCATATGCAACAAAATGCATGCAACTGGAAATCATTATACTTAGTGAAATAAGCCAGTCCACAAAAGACAAATACCATATGTCCTCTCTGATCTGTGGTAACTAATAGAATACCTGAAAGACAATCTATAGGAATGAAATTGACACTTTATGATGCAATGATTTTGAACACCCTTGTCTTGACTGGTGAGGAGCAATGCTTTTTCTTTGTCTTTTGTTTTCTTTTTACATTTTTCTTCATACTGTTTGTTGATCCCTCTACAAAGTGTCGGGTTAATCTAATGAGTATAAAGTTAACTGAAAATAGATTTTTGTGAAACAAACAATAAGAATGGGAGAAGGAGGAGGAAGAAGTGTTGGGAGTATGGGTGGGAGTGAGTAAGGGTATAAAGAACCACTGTTTCTTAAATTTGTGTATATGAAATGCATGAAGTTTGTATTCCTTAAATCAAATTAAAAAATAATTAAAAAGAAAAAAGAAAAATGAGTTAAACAAATGGGAAGGTTAAAGCAGATTCAAACATTTTGATACTAAATGTTCAAAGTAATATTTAAAGATAATTTTGAAAGCCTTATTATCATAGGAAACTGATTCTTCTCATTTAGAGGTACTGAATTATTGGTTTCAATAGTTGCTTTATTTTGTGGACAGAGCACCATTTATGTCACTCAGTGGAGTTAAATCTTTCAGAACTTACTGAAAATACTGTTCTGGGAATATTGTGATAATCAAATATGTCAGTTTCTGTATCAAGGAGACAAAGTAAGTTCTGGACTTCACAGATGGGTTATGTAGGAGCCTGAAGGGAAGGAAATGAGACTTCCTTCCTGTGATTGATCAGCCTTTACAACTATATTATATCACTTGAAGATAAGTCTGATGTCATATAAATGTCTCCCTGAAGCCAGAACTCAGCTTCCCACTACTAACTCTGACTTTCCTTCTTGCCCTGTTTGTCATTTCTTTTTATTAGACTTTATATTGTGCTTTAAACTACATCATGCAATATAAAATTTTATTTTAAAATACATTTATTAATATTTGATATATTAAAAATCCACCCTAAAAAGAAAAAATCCCATAAGATGAAAATTATCTCTAAATTCACAACTTGGGAAAGTTTTCAAAGACAGAAATGTGGAGCTTGTCTTTTGTCTCTGCAGTTGCACCTGCATAGGTGACTGTGGTGTCTAGTGTTGGGATATTTTTCTACATGAAGTATCCTGGTATCTTCAATAGTTTCATATAAATTTTGAATGTGGAATTAATCCTTTAAAGTACATATTTTTGTGGGATCAGTTGGTGTGTGGCACTTGAGAGTCTGATATTACTTCCAGGAAGTAGAGACAATGCTGTAATTAGCTTTGTGTGCCCAGTGCCCAGATAGGCAGTTGGCAAATAGTAAACAGAATTGTTGCAGGGAAGAGTGCAGCTGTATTAGAGGTCTGCATGCAAATGTAATCTAAATACAAAAGTGAAATTATTTCCCAAAGACTCAAGTGAGATTTTTCTGAGTTATTTAGAACAAGTGCCTTTGTGATGAGTTTGTAAACTTACATGAAATTCTTGGTGAGATTCTTTTTCAAAACAAGACTTCAGACATTGCCAACTTAAAGATTTCCAAAATTTCCAGTTTTCTATTGTATACATTTCCTCCCTAGAAGTAGCTATCGTGCTAAATCTGAGAGTTTTTTTTTGTCTATGTCTCATTTGTTATTTGAAAAAGAATTAAATGAATAAGCTAAACTCAGAGCTGTTTAATGTGTGGCTCCCTACCCTCATTTCCTTACCCAGCCAAGTCTCAGCTCTTATGGACATGTTGTGTCCCACTTATGATTATGAGAAATGGGAGCGTGTCTTCCATGTAAGCTGCCTTTCTGTGTTCACATGTGATCCTTATGTTTCCTCTTGGACTTCATGTCCTCCAGTTTCTCCTCCTCTGGGATTTATGGTCAGTGAGCACAATTGATTTTCCAGCCTACACTGTGTACCCTCCTCGTTCACAATGGAAGCAGTTACTGCATGGAGCGTATCCCTAATGAAGGGGCTCCTATTTACTCCACCTTGCATTTTCTATTTTTCTTACATTCTCTACTATCTTACACTATCAAGATGCCACTCTCGGGGCCCACACTGTGATGTAGTAGGCTAAGCCTCTGCTTGCAGTGCTTAGCACTATGGGTGCTTCGCCTATGGGTGCTGGTTCCTGTCCTGGCTGCTACTCTCCTGATCCAGCTCTCTGTTATGGTCTGGGAAAGCAGCAGAAGATGGCCCAAGTGCTTGGCCCCCTGTACCTACATGGGAGACCCAGAAGAAGATCCTGACTCCTGGCTTCAGATCTACCCAGCTCTGGCCATTGTGGCCATTTATGGAATGAACTAGCAGATAGAAGAACTTTTTCTCTGTCTCTTCCTCTCTCTGTCTGTAACTCTACCTCTCAAATAAACAAAACTTAAAAAAAAGACTAATCCTGTCATGGTGTCTATTTAAGTCAATAAATAAAGAAAAGCTTATTATAGATAAATTTTAAAAATTTCAAGTATGTTAATATTGTTGTACATTAGAAAGTTAGACTTGTTCATAATAGCCAAAATATGGAAACACTGAAGTATGCTTTGATGGATAAATAAATAAGGCATCTGTGGTGCATATATGCAATGGAGTATTATTCAGACCTAAAAAAGGATAAAATCTTGCCATTTACCACCACATGGATAACTCTGTAGGACATTAGGCTAAGTGAAATAAGCCAGAAAGAAAATTTAGAAATTAGACAAAGTGTTAATATTCATTTGCAAAACAGTGGTTAATAAGAATAAATATTTCTGAAATATAAAGTGTACAAGTAGTAATTACTATATAATATACAATAGTCTAGTAGTCTAGTAGTCTAAATTTATGAATTTTTAAAACATTTAAAAACATTTATTTATTTGAAAAGCAGAGTTACACACACATACATACGCACAGACAGAGAGAAAGAAAAAAAGGAAAGAGAGAGAGAAAGAGAGAGGGAGAGAGAGAGAGAGAAAGAGATCTTCCAATCTGCAGGTTCACTTCCTAGATGGTCCCAAGAGCCAGGGCTGGTCCAGGCTAAAGCTGGGAGCCTGGAATCCCATCTGGGTTTCCTATATGAGTAGGAGGGGTCCAGGTACTTGGGCCATTTTCTGCTCCTTTTCTAGTCACAGTAGCAGGGGGCTAGATCAAAAGCAGAGCATTTGAGACTTGAACTGACACTGTGACATGGGAAACCAGCATCACAGGCCACAGCTTAACCCACTGTGCCACAACACTTGCATCTCAAATTAGATTTTTGTTCTCAGAATCCTGAATGCTGATACCTTAGATATAAATATGCTTTTGCACCATAGAATATGAAAAAAAATTTCTTTTTTTTTTGACAGGCAGAGTTAGACACTGAGAGAGAGACAGAGAGAAAGGTCTTCCTTTTTCTGTTGGTTCACCCCCCAAATAGCCACTAGGGCTGGTGCCCTGTGCCGATCCGAAGCCAGGAGCCAGGTGCTTCCTCCTGGTCTCTGATGCGGGTGCAGGGCCCAAGCACTTGGGCCATCCTCCACTGCCTTCCCGGGCCACAGCAGAGAGCTGGACTAGAAGAGGAGCAACAGGACAGAATCCAGCGCCCCAGCTGGGACTAGAACCTGGGGTTGCCGGCGCCACAGGTGGAGGATTAGCCTAGTGAGCCAATTTCTCAACTTTTTTTAAATGCTCAGAATACAATTTCTGTCCCTGAGCTATGGTCTTTTTTCACTCTACATGCTGCAGTTTCTTCATAGGGTCTCATTGGTATCTGTCTCTTAAAGTTGCATTGCAGAAATTAAAGGAAAGTAGTCAAAAAAGAGCTCAAGTACCTTTGAGAAATAAAGTCTAAGGGAATAATTTGAATGTACAATTTCATAAACCAAAATTATCCTGCCTCACAGAATTTTATATTTAATATTTTAATGTAATCTCAACTTCAGTATATTGTTTGTGAATATACACAAAACCATGTGTTTCACTTGTAGAAGCAAATTAAAATGAATTGATAAGTGTGATTCGGTGTTTTATATTAAGCAGCAGGATTTTTTAAAATTATTTTTGTCATTTATTTGACAGATGGAAGGAGAGAGAAAGAGAGAGAGAGAGAAACTCCTATCTACTGATTCACTTCCCTCATCAGGGCTGGGTTGGTTCTTAATTTACCTTAATAAGCAATATCAACTTCCTACTCAGTAAAAAGAGGATATGGATTTCATTTTTATTGAGTAATTCTAATAATTGAGTTTATAATATTTGAATACATTTTAGTAACTATAATGTTCAGAATTACATGAATGGGATTAAGTAAGCACAGGAATTAACACAGAACATTTCTGTATCATTTATGTCTTTATGGTGGTCCTGCTTTCTATTTATATGTTTTCTTTTAGTTTTTGAAAATTTTCTTTCAGGAAATAACATAATCATGAAGGCTTACATTGTTTCAACAGGGTGTACCTAGGGCAATAAATATTCATGTTTACCTGGACATAGAAATGGTGCAATTACTCAAGTTAAACATTGTCTAATGACACTCCTCCGAAAGAGCAACTTAACTGCTTGGAAAATCACTTGGTCAAGTAGCTGATAGTTACCCATAGTACCATTCATAAGAAGCAAGTCTAAAAATAGAGAAAAGAAAAAATGCTTCTTATTATGGACTCAATATTACAACTGCCTGATCTCTATTAGCCAATACAAAATATTGCTCTTCTCCCTGGCCAGAATGTCACCATTCCCAGTGAAGGTAGCTCTTTGGTTCCTGTTGATTTCCTGCTTGTTCAATTCTCCATTGAGTCAACAAGGGATAGAAGCCTTTCAGTGCAGCAATGGGATTGCCTTGCCTCCTGACCAGGTGTGTGACTTCACAGATCAGTGTGGGGATAACAGCGATGAAGAGCAATGTAAGTGCCCTTCTCTTTTCTCCAATGTCGGTTTCCTGTGTCTTTAAACCAGGGTTCCGTGAGCTGTCTTGGAGATTGGACTAGATTCCTGGGCATGCACGGGTTTTGTGTTGCATGCCTAAATCAGAAATGAAAATGTGTTCCATAAATTAACAATTTTCTAATATCAAATCACTGAAACTTTAACTGGCTAGATTGTATTTTAGGTCAGTTTGTACTGATTTTAAAGGAATGATAAGCAGAAATGCAGCTGTTACGTTAATGAACTAAAACTGAAAAGCTCATTAATGCAGGTGTAAAATACTGTGTGAAAAGTATGAGCTTAAGCTTGAATTTAATATAAAAACATGTGAAATTAATTTTAGCCTGGATGGTTAGATTTTGCTTCTGTTTACAGGATGCTACTTCCCAGAGCACTGGCTCCAGTTGTGCATGTAATGCAACTTTGGGCTGTGTCCTTTGCTTTTGGAGCAGTGCATAGAGCAATAGTTCAGAGAGTATGAGACCTAAATGTGGGTTCTGCATGATGCATTTGCTGTGCCATCCTGAACTTTCATATTATTATAAAATATCATAAAGTGAGATAAGCCAATTCTAATGGCTGGGAACATCTCCCATTGCTTAATGTAATAGCATTGAAGAACAGGAAGCAGTTTAGCAAGGGAAAGCATGGAGAGCAAAATGTGTTTGTAGCTTCTACTGCGATAGCAAATCTTGAAGGAACGCTGCATTTCAGCACTGGGAATAGTGTCATTTTTACACGCAGTCACCTTTCATAAAACACATTTTCTTGTTTTTAAGATTTATTTATTTCAGCCGGCACGGCGGCTCAATAGGCTAATCCTCCGCCTGTGGCACCGGCACACCAGGTTCTAGTCCCGGTCGGGGTGCCGGATTCTTTCCCAGTTGCCCCTCTTCCAGGCCAGCTCTCTGCTGTGGCCAGGGAGTGCAGTGGAGGATGGCCCAAGTGCTTGGGCCCTGCACCCCATGGGAGACCAGGAGAAGCACCTGGCTCCTGCCTTCAGATCAGCGCGGTGCGCCGGCTGCAGTGCGCCAGCCGTGGCGGCCATTGGAGGGTGAACCAACGGAAAAGGAAGACCTTTCTCTCTGTCTCTCTCTCTTTCTCTCACTGTCCACTCTGCCTGTCAAAAAAATATTTATTTATTTGATTTGAAATTAAGAGTTACAGAGAGGGATAGAGAGGGAGAAACAGAGAGATCTTCTAACCATCAGTTCCTTTCCCAAATGGCCGTGATGCCTGGAGCCAGGCTGAACTGAAACCAGGAGCCAGGAGCTTCTTATGGGTACAGGGGCCTAAGCTCTTGGGCCATTTTCTGCTGCTTTCCCAGGTGCATTAGCAGTGAGCTGGAGCAGAAGTGGAGCAGCCAAGACTTGAACCAGTGTCTAAATGGGTGTCTGAAGCTGTAGGTGGTGGCTGTACTGGCTATGCCACAGCAAAGGCCCCAACCACATTTGCATACAGTTGCTGTGGATTCATTGTTAGTTCACAGTAGCTATTGCTTAAATTAATTATCTGGTGGCACCAATTGTGTTATTGTAGATCATTTTATACAAATGTATATTTTCTATTTTATTCATGTACCAATTAGTATGTATATAAATCTTCATTTTCTTCTGCTAAAATAAGATTCTGCATAATTGATTTTGCTATTGTTTATCTTGCATTTAAATAATGTTATTACTACATTAAAGCAAGAAAACTGACTACTGAAAACTGCCTCTCTGTAGCAGGAAAGAAAGAGACTGACAATTTCTCTCCTGTAGTTTGAGATAGCTGTCACACTATTAGTCCTTAGTAATTTTTTAAAAAGATTTACTTATTTATTTGAAAGGCAGAGTTACAGAGAAGCAGAGGCAGAGACAGAGAGAGGTTTTCTGTCTACTAGTTCACTCCCCAGATGGCCACAACGGCTGGAGCTGAGCAATTCCAAAGCCAGGAGCTAGGGTCTTCTTCCGGGTCTCCCACATGGGTGCTGGGGACCAAGAACTTGAGCTGTTTTCCACTGCTTTCCCAGGCCATGGCAGAGACCTGGATCAGGAGTAGAGCAGCTGGGACTTGAACTGGTGCCCATATGGGATGTAGGCACTGCAGGCAGCTGCTTTACCCACTACACCACAGTGCCAGCCCCCTTAGTAACTATTATATACAAAGCCCAGGGGCCTGCGCTGTGGCGCAGCAGGTTAACGCCCTGGCCTGAAGTGCTGGCATCCCATATGGGCGCCGGTTCGAGATTCGAGACACGGCTGCTTCACTTTCGATCCAGCTCTCTGCTTTGGCCTGGGAAAACAGTGAAGGATGGCCCAAGTCCTTGGGCCCCTGCACCTGCGTGGGAGACCTGGAGGAAGCTCCTGGCTCCTGGCTCCTGGCTTTGGATCGGCGCAATTCCGGCTGTTGTGGCCAATTGGAGAGTGAACCATCAGATGGAAGACCTCTCTCTCTCTCTCTCTCTCTCTCTCTCTGCCTCTCCTCTCTCTATGTAACTATGACTTTCAAATAAATAAATAAATCTTAAAAAAATGCAAAGCCCAACCAGGGACAAGTATTTGTCCAATTTCTCCACAGAGGCTAAGTTTAGGATGTTGCCCCTAGCTCCAGGTTTTAGGAGAAAGCCCTTACTCTTCCTCCGTGAGTGGCAAAGGAGAACTGCTTGGCTATTTTGACAAGAAGTGCAAAGTCCTTTCCATTAGGAATCTCCATGAAGCTTCCTGTAGCACTCTCACGGTGATAACATGCCTGGCCCTGCTTCAGGGAAAAGGTTAGTGTGGAGGAGAAAGCTGCAACGTAGAAAAGGTTCTGATAGCTCATAACCTGGGAGGGAAGCGCAGGCTCAGAGCTGCGGAATAAACACAGTTCATTTTAAATGTTACGAGGCGGGGTCACCTTTTGGCATTTATACTTTTCATTTTCATTTCTGAGAAGTTTCCACTTTGACATTTTATTTAAAATGTGGATAAGATCCTGTAGATAAAATTGAAAATCACATTAAGTATGAATTTCTTTTATTCACCACATTAGAAGAAAAATGTGAAGGGATAATGATGGTCAAGTACTTTCATTCTGAAAACTTGTGATGCTAAAGTTATAGATCACATTTTTAAGAAATCTAACTTTGTAATGATGTACAACTAGCCCTATTTTGAGAAAAAAATCAACCCATGCTCCTTTTAATATCCAAACGGTGTGACTATTAAAGAAATGGACTAAAATGTTGACTTTTCTTAATAAAATTTGCATAGTTGAAGTTAGATTTCAGATGCAATGAGTGATACTAGTAGTTTTTTGAAAATATATTTTATATGATGAACATAATTTTAATAATAAATTCCTATTGCTTTAACTCAGCATATATTTTTAAAGAAATTAAGTAGAAAATTGAATCTTCAAAATAGAACAAATTCTATTTACAAACAATATTAAGCACTTGATATATAGTGAGGAAGAAAAATGGTTTGTAGATGTAACAAGTGTTGCATGGAGAGTCTCTCTTTTATAGCAATTTTTACATCCTTAGCCAGGTAAAAATGTCTTTTAATCTTGGTCTGTGTATGGTTAAAATCATATTACAAGTTCTGTGTTGTCTGTTTCCATGCTGGTCTGTAATGACTAGTCTTCCTCATTCTCTCATTATTTTTATTAACATTATTTTAAATCAAAATATTATATTTTAGGGTTCATAGTATTTTTGATGTTATGCTATATGTATACAATGTGACATGAATAAACCAAGAAAATTAACATGTCCATCACCTCATTTATTTATCAACTTTGTGATGAGACATTTGAAAATTAACTAATTATTTTAAAGTATACAATACATTATTATTGATTATAGTCACCCTGCTATACAATAGACCTCAAAACTTAATCCTTTTGTCTATTTGAAATTTTTGAATCCTTTGTTAAATAACTTCTCATTCCCTTATCTCATCCCCTAGTCTCTGGTACCCATCTTCCTGCTTTCTGTTTCGTTAAGTTCAACTACTTTAAATTCTACATGTAAATGAGTTCATTCAGTATTTGTCTTTTTGTTCCAGTGGTATTCCATTGAGCAGAATGTTCTCCAGGTGCATCCATATGGTTACAAATGACAGATTTTTTTTCTTTTTTAAGGCTGAAGTGTATTCCACTGTGTATTTTTTTTTTTTTTTGACAGGCAGAGTGGACAGTGAGAGATACAGAGAGAAAGGTCTTCCTTTGCCGTTGGTAAACCCTCCAATGGCTGCCATGGCCGGCGTGCTGTGGCTGGCGCACCGCACTGATCCGAAGCCAGGAGCCAGGTACTTCTCCTGGTCTCCCATGGGGTGCATGGCCCAAGCACTTGGGCCATCCTCCACTGCACTCCCGGGCCACAGCAGAGAGCTGGCCTGGAAGAGGGGCAACCGGGACAGAATCCGGTGCCCCCACCGGGACTAGAACCTGGAGTGCTGGCACCACAGGTGGAGGATTAGCCTATTGAGCCACGGCGCTGGCCTCTATAGATACAATTCTAAGAACATAATGATATTCCTTCCTTCCTCCTTCCCCCTTTTTCCCTTGGACACTCCTTTCTTTTCCCTTTCTTTTTAATTTTTTTGAGATAACATATCTTAAGTTTACATTATAATAAAAAGGCTTACTACTTTATCAAATAAGAAGCTTAACAAGTAAAAAGCAGAAAGACTTTAGTGGGAATATAGACAATGGCTATAGACAATAATTGAATGCAAAATGACCATTTCACCCATATATAGCAAATTTTAAAATAATCACTGGTCATTAAAGCTATAGTAGTATAACATTCCTTTTTCTTTTTCTTTTTCTTTTTCTTTTTTTTTTGACAGGCAGAGTTAGTGAGAGAGAGAGAGAGACAGAGAGAGAAAGGTCTTCCTTTTTCCATTGGTTCAACCCCCAAGTGGCTGCTACGGCCAGCGCGCTGTGGCTGGCGCACTGTGCCAAAGCCAAGAGCAAGGTGCTCCCTCCTGGTCTCCCATGCGGGTGC